TCGTCCTCAAAGCCAAAGGAAAAGAGAAGGTCAGCTTCGTCTATCACCAGCAGCTCCAGGGAGTCACGGAGCTTCAAGCTGTCTTGCTGTAAGTGGTTTAATATTCGGGATGGGGTCCCCACCACCACATCTGGCTTCTCCATCAACACAGCTCTGCAGGTGGCAAGTTATGGACAGCAAGAATTTAGCAGCCAGAACCTCATCCTGGCAGACCTGCCTCCTCCGGCTGCTCACCAAACCAGAGTCACACGCATTAGCACCCTGCAGCTTCCACCCACCTCTGAGAAGCGGAGTCTTCAGCAGCTGAGACATTAGCCACTCGCACATCCCGAGCACAGTAGGCAGCCAGCTGCTGAATCATTGCCTGGGCCTGCCGCGCCAGCTCCTTCGTAGGGACGAGGACAAGGCCTCTCACAGCTTGTTCCATTACAGGACCTGTCTGTAAAAGCATGAGTTAAAGACTGTTAAAAATATCGGGTCCACCTAATGCTTTTCTCCGCCTCCCCCAAACCGTGGGGACTGAGCAATACAATCATCTAGCTATGTGCTGATAAACTCTTAATTCTGCCCACCTCGGAACACTGAATGGGAGAGCTTTCCCGAGCACTGAAATTTAAAAATACCTTGCTGCATGTCTGAAATGAATTAACACAGACTCGGTATGGAACTGATGTGCCTTCTTTAGATAAACAATGGTTTACTCGAGAGTACAAGCCTGGTGGTAGTGGTAGCAAGACCTGGGTTGAAAGCCAGGGAACCTGAACTCCAGCTCAGAGCTTATACAACAAATGGACCCGCCAAACAAGAGAAACCTTTGCATAGATGGTCACCTCCTTCCCTGGCCTTTTGAGGGCTTCCTCGTGCCCACTGTCCCCTCTCGCTACCCACCGCCTTCTTGTGGAGAAGCAACTGCAGCATCGGAATAGCATAAGCTGCCGTCTTCCCGGAGCCTGTGCGGGCGCGGGCCAGGAGGTCCTTCCCCTCCAGAGCCAGAGGTATGGCCTTTTCCTGGATCAGCGTAGGTCGCGACCAGCCCAAGTCAGCGACAGCCTAAGAAGGAAGAGGACAGGGTTTAGGCGGCGCGGAGTGCGGCGACACCCCAGGTCCCAGCTTCACAACCATCCCCATACCTGCAGGAGCCGGGGATCCAGCCCCATGTGTTCAAAACCTAGCGCTTCTTGGTCCTCCATGGCGTGCCTCCGTACTGACAGTGCGCACGCGTAAGGGCAGGACAAACCAACAACGAATCAGTTCCGGAGGAGACGTCACTTCCTGGAAGTTTTCCGTGGGGGCGTTAGGCGTTGCAGCACGCAAATGCTGCTGTGCAGTGCGCAGGCGCAGAGGCGTGCCTTCCGGGTCGCTACAGCCCGGCCTCCACCCACCCAAGCGCCAACCTTCGCTGACCCACGGAGTAGTGTGGGCACACTTTGCCTGCCAAATTGTGGTTAGGATCCGACCGCGCTTTGGCTGAGAAGCAGCAGCAAGGCCGCCCACCTGGGCGTGTGCGTGCGCGTGGAGGAGTTACGACTGTGTGGGTAACCAGTTTGAAATCATGATACAGAGTGTTAACCTATTAAGATAACTGTTAAACCGGGGGTAGTGCGAAGGCCTTTAATCCCAGCATTTGGGAAGCAGAGGCAGGCGATCTCCATGAGTTCAAGGGCAGTCTGGTCTACAGAGAGTTCCAGGATAACCAGGGCTACACAGAAAAACCTGTCTCAAAAAAAAAAAAAATCCAAAAACAAACAACAACAACAAAAAAAAAAAAACCCCAGCTACTACGAATAGTCTCATGGATCCTGCCACACGCCTTGCTATCTTTCACAGAAGTGCCAGATTAACCTGACCCCTTCCTGGGACCCGACTTTTCCAGAAAACCAAAAGCTGCAGTCAGACGGTGTTACTACATACCAACTAGGCCCATTCCCTCTTCCAGAACCCCGTCCACCGGTGATGTCCTTGGGACCTTTTTATTCTGTTCTTCTTGAAACAAGGTCCACTATTGAGCTGTGGCTGGCCTGGAACTTGGCAAGTAGACCAGACGGCTGGTGTTAAAGCTGCACCACCACGTCCGACTTCATTGGAACCTCTTAAACATTTCCTAAAGTTTTACAATAAACTGTGTCTCCAAGTCTAGTTAGGTGACGTCAGCCGACCTTGGGCTCATTTCTTCTGAGCACCTCCCCTCCCCAAAGCCTTTCCTTCAGCTTGCCCTCAGGTCACCTAGTCTGGTCTCCCAAACCTAACCGTTTGATGTTTTAAGCCATTTGGTAATTACTGTTAGGGATTGTTGGGCATTTACCGACAGGGAGGGTCTTATTATAGTGAGCATCTATTAAGATAGGGGAAGCACTCCTGGTGACAGACAGATTAACTAGAAGCCTAACTGCAAACGGCGAGTCTCTGGTACCTGTCATTACAGTGGGCTCATTCTGATAACCTACATCAGTGGTTTTCAACCTTCCTAAGGCTGGACTCTTTAATACAGTTCCTCATGTTGTGGTGACCCCCAACCATGAAATTATTTTCATTGCTATGTTATAACTGTAATTCTTCTACTGTTACAAATTATAATGGAAAGGCTGGGCAGTGGGGGCGCACGACTTTAATCCCAGCACTTGGGAGACGATGGCAGGCAGATCTCTGTGAGTTCGAGGCCAGCCTGGTCTACAAGAGCTAGTTCCAGGACAGGCTCCAAAGCTACAGAGAAACCCTGTCTTCAAACAAGCAAAAAAAAAAATTATAATGGAAATATCTTTTAAAAAAATATTTATTTAGCCGGGCGGTGGTGGCGCACGCCTTTAATCCCAGCACTTGGGAGGCAGAGGCAGGCGGATCTCTGTGAGTTCGAGACCAGCCTGGTCTACAAGAGCTAGTTCCAGGACAGGCTCCAAAACCACAGAGAAACCCTGTCTCGAAAAACAAACAAAAAAAATTATTTATTATGTTTACAATATTCTGTGTATATGCCTGCATGCCAGAAGAGGGCACCAGACCCCATTATAGGTGGTTGTGAGCCACCATGTAGTCACTGGGTACTGAACTCAGAACCTTTGGAAGAACAGGAAATGCTCTTAACCTCTGAGCCATCTCTCCAGCCCTGGAAATATCTTGAAAAAGGTTGAGAACCACTGATCTAGACTAGCTCCTTACTTCAAAGTCATCTGGTTAGTAATCTGTCATGCCCAGTGGCATTCATAACTTTCAAAGGCACTGGGGCAATCAAGTTCCTGTCTACTGTACTCCTCATACCCAAGCCTGCATCTGCTAAGTCTCCAAAGGGGAGCTGAAAGGAATTAGCAAGAGAAACCCTGCTGTTTATTGAGTGTTTATTGTTGGATAAGCCCACCAAAGCCTGGCCTTTTCTAGCCTCTTTCTCTATCAGGTCTAGACTTCTTGAGAAAACAACACAGCAGAAACGTATCTCTTCTTAAGACCTTGCACTATGGGTCTAAACATCTAAGTCATTCAAAGGCATCTTAGTTCTGGACATATTGGCACACACTTATGATCCCAACACCTGAAAGGCAGGTCCAACAGGATCTTAAAGACTAACACAAGTGCTACCTCAAGGCTATCTCAAAAACAGACCAAGACCTTCTCTTACTGGTCATGGTGGCACAGGCCTTTAATCCCAGCACTCTGGTGGCAGAGGCAGGTGGATTTCTGTGAGTTCAAGGCCACCCTGGTGGCTATGTATAGATACTGTCTGAAAAAACTAAACAACTCTCTCAACACCTAATTTATTCTAATCCACACTCCCCTCCCAAGACAGGGTTTCTCTGTGTAGCCTGACTTTCCTAGACCTCACTCTGTAGATCAGGCTGGCCTCCAATTCAGAGATCTGCCTGCCTCTGCCTCCTGAGTGCTGGGATTAAAGGTATGCACCACCGCCTGGCTTCCCATCCTGATCCTAAACTGAAGACTGTAAACTTTTTCAAGTATCAGAGGAATTATTCTGGTGGTTATATGGCCATCCAGAATTAGAAATAGGAGGGTTATGTAGGACTTTTTTTTTGTCCTTCCTCTTTGCAAACTAAAAAAATTGCATATACTCTAAGTGTAAAACAGGTTCGTATATAGTAGAGTACACAGAAATAAGGGGAGAATTTAGCTCTATAAGTCAGAAAAAGAAAATTTAATAAATATTCCAAATAAATATATAATAAAACTGTGAAATAAAATATCAAGAATGGGCAACTACTGGCATGAGGCTTATACAGAAGAGGGTGAGGGATATGTCTTAAGAGCTGTTTATGATTCAGGGGCTCTGTTTTGCTAGTTCCTTGCTAACATCTTATTTATTAGGGTGACCTTACAGAATGGTTAAGCAATCCACTCATCCACTCCCAGGCCAAGTCTTAGCAAGAGTGCCCATTGAAGTCTACCCCACATTACAAAGGCAAGACATCTACACCAGTAACCTCCCCATCTTTTTTTTGGGGGGGGGGGGAGCTTACCGCTGTCCACAACCTATTATTGTCTATCAAACATAGCTACTATGTTTATTTCATTGGAAAAAAAAATCTGCATACAGAACCAAAATCTGGTTCCCTTGAAGGAAATATTTGTCAGGTGTGGTGGCACATGCCTCTTTAGTCACAGCAGTTGGTAGGTAGACACAGGTGGATCTGAGGCTAGTCTACATAGGGAGCTCCAGGCTAGCCACAGCAACAGAGACTGTCTCAAAAACAAAACAAAAAGAACCTACAAACCATTGCCACTGCTTAATGAAAACTGAGGGGAGAATGCACTGCTCCAAGTTACTCTGTCCCTCTCTTCAACTTTGGGACTGACGGATCGGACTCACAAGTGTTCAAGAGAACTCTTCTTGGCCTTGTAACATGGACTTGAGAGTAACTACAGTATCTGCTTTCTGGCCCCAGACTGCTAAAATTCTGAGCACGTCATGGCAGTTACTAAAAGTGTGGGAATTAAGTAGAATGCATAAGGTCTGGAATGGTGCTTTTGGCTATTACAGGCAGTGATGATTCAACCAGGAAGGAAAATACATATAATTTATCCAAAAATAGTTCTAAAATATAGAAAACATCTCAATCCTTCAGGGCCAAGAACTGCCCCTTATTTACATTCACAAAGCCATTGAAAGAACTCAGGACTGACCCAGGAACACCGAGGCAGGGCCTCCTCCATGGAACATGCCGGTTGTCTACTGCAGAAATAGACAACCAGAAAACAGAAGAGCATTTGGTCATCTCTTCAAAAACAGGAGAATCACCAGGGGCAAAAGAAATGATTTGATCTTGGGTTAATTCCAACTTCTCCCAAACCCTAAGGCGGATTTTGAAAGCGTGGACCAATGTCTGCTTCTTGGAGAACCAGGGTCAAAAGGTAGCTGATCTCAGCGGCTTATTGCCAAGACACCAATGTGAGACACATTGGTTTTTCACTTTTCCTCCTCCTCAAAATCCAGGTGGGTGGGGCTAGGTGGGGAAATGATCAACTAACTGAGGTAAAGGGAAAGGGTTATACGGCAAGAGCCCTACACCAGCTTCTTGGCCTCAAAGAAGCTCTTGAGGTGCCGCATCTGCCAGATTCCAGTGAGGATGAGGATGACAGTCTGGGCGATGGACCACCACAGGACCCTCTGATTGGTGCTCTCACTTGTCAGGCGGAAGCGTTCTTCACGGTACTGCGCGGGACAGTGAGCAAAGGATTAGAATGGGTAGGAAAACACAATCTGCCATTACAAGGGCCCTCTATTTGTGTGACACACAACTCCCAGACCAAATGCCTCTGGAACACCATCTGTAATTCCGTCAGGTGACTAGTCTCCCCGAGACTACCCCTAGGAAGGAAAGTGATGTCCCTCTACAACCATCTCTGCTAGGACTAACATAACGCTTCTATAATAAGAGCCCATGGAATACAAGCAATAGGTACTACTAAATTGTGCGTTGTCCTCTCTAGAATGGCTCATACAATTTAGAAATAACTACCCAAAGCAAGATGAGGTCTCTACATACAACAGGCTATTATTCCACTTAAAAGGAGAGCTCTACAGTTGGACAGAGGCTGGAGAGATGGCTCGGTGGTTAAGAGCATGTATTGCTCTTCCAGAGGACTTGAGTTCGATTCCTAACACCTATGTCAGGTGACTCACAACCACCTGTAACTCCAAGAATCTAATGCCTCTGGCCTCCTTAAACACCTGCATTTACACATAAACCATACACATATACACATAACTGATAAGAAAACAAATCTTTAAGTGGGGGTATGGTGGACTTCAGCGCCCTTATCTAGCCTCAATGAGGTTCAACTTCTAGCACTGCAAAAATAAACAAATGTGACAAACAGAGTGTTGTGACACACTACAGGACAGATGAACCCTGGACACATTGTGATAAATGAACTAAGACAGTCACAAAAGGATTGTATTTAGTTGAATTACAGTGGTCAAGACTATAAGCAAAAAAGTAGAACAGCAGGGGGCTGGAGAGATGGCTCAGTGGTTAAGAGCACTGCCTGCTCTTCCAAAGGTCCTGAGTTCAATTCCCAGCAACCACATGGTGGCTCACAACCATCTGTAATGGGGTCTGGTGCCCTCCTCTGGCCTGTGGGCATACACACAGATGGAATATTGTATACATAATAAATAAATAAATATTTTTTAAAAAAAGTAGAACAGCAACATAGGAAGGTAAGTGGGGAATCAGTGTTTAACACTAATCAGGACCACAGACCAAAAAATCAAAACTGCACTGAGGGAAGTGGAGCGTTTGACGGGTTCAGATTCTCTGGGAAGGTGAAGTTAGGAGGCAGTGATGGTTGCAACACAACATGAATATTTAATGCTAAAGTATTATATACTTAGAAACAGTTAAAATGCTAAG